GTAGACAAAAATAAATATACTGTTTGATAAATAAAAAAGCATCACTCAAATAAGAATGTCCACTAAAATGATGTTTAAGTCATAAAAATCTGTTAGATTAATAAATAAAAAAAGCATCCTTTTCTTCAGAAATTGTTTTGTTTATGTGAGGATATGAAATTGAGCAGATATGTCTATTTCAAGTGTGATAGAAAAATCCGTGTTTAAAGGCACTATTCAGCTTTACTTGATCAACACACAACATGGCCGAGTGGTCCAAAGCATGTCAGACAGTTTCCCCTGGATCCTGCTGGAGAGCACATATTTTTCTCTAATAAGACAGAAATATACTGTTTAATAACAGAGCATCTACTCAAATATGTGTATCAACTAAAAATAATGTTTAATAAAATTATAATATATATATATATATATATATATATATATATATATATATATAGAGAGAGAGAGAGAGAGAGATAGGCATGGTGGAGTAATGGATTGTAGCTCAGATTGAGGAATCAGCAAGCCAAGTTTGAATTCCAGTTGAGTTCATTACATTCACTTGTATGGTAATACTCTTGGGAAAGGTATGTGTCCATCTCTTCTCCACCCAGCTATGAGTAAATAGCAGGGCAGATTGTGTTCTATAGCCTTGGGTGGTGAACAGTTCTTCTTGGAGAAGGACAACTCTGAATTCATGTTTGACTGGGGACCCAGTGGCATAATGTGCACCAGTTCTCTGTATTCAGCTCTTCAAAAAAGTGCAGTTGGTTCTGCACAAGTTTTTGCCACTATAATCAAATGATGTGTAGGTAGTTTGACTGTTAGTTCTAAGAATTGAGCTACTTGACCCTTACACATCAAAAACAACAGCAGAGTCCAGTAATATATATATATTTTTATATATATATATATATATGTGTATATTTATAATCCAGTTTGGCACATCCTGGATAAGATGATAAACTACATCCAACAGCAAGGCCTCTGATCAGGTTTTGATCAGCATAGAACCACCTCTTAATTGCTGGTGTCCCCAGATCCACCCTGGCCTGGGGTGGTAGCACCTGTTAGGGTCCCAGCTATGAGCAAATAATTGACCACCCCCAAACTGGGGTTGAAACATAATGAAAGTGTAAAAATAGGTTTTAATACCAAGAATACCATTTTGTAAAAGGTTATTACCAGCAATGAATGTTTGAAGAAAAAAATTATTACCAGCAATACATTTTGGCAAAAAAAATATTACCAGCAATAAAGATTTCCTCGGCATTAAATAACCCATAGAAGTTGATATGCCATAAAACAAGCCAAACCTATTTGGCATATCACATGTTACACTCTCACAAGTAATAAGATATTAACCAATAATTGTGAGTTTAATGGAACATCTATAAAAGGAAGCTTGCTTTTATTTATATATATATATATATATATATACATACACACACACACACACACACACACACACACACACACACACATATATATATATATATATATAGAGAGAGAGAGAGAGAGATGGTGTGATGGGCACTATTTGTGAGAAAAAGAGAACCATGATGCAATTCACTCTGCCAGAAATTTGGAAATGTCACACTGTACTGCTTGGCATTCATGCCAGGAGCTCCAATATGAACATTTCAGAGTGTTTGGTTGTCAATCCTAGGACAGTGCAGAGGGTTTGGAAAGAGTAGCTTGTTTGGAGTGATCACTAGTGATGGTGACGTTATGCCTCTATTCATCTTTCCACAAGGCCTCAGACTCAACATCTGTTAAAATGAGATGTCAGTGTTATTTTCATTTTTGCATAATTTAGATAACAATTTATCCATCACACCCTGTATATATACACAAGTTTCATTAAAGACGGTTGACAAGGTACTGTGGTTAAGTTTTTCTTTAATTTTTCTTGTGCTTGTCTAAGTGTTTTGGAAATAAGGTTGGTTAGTTAGTTGGTTGGGTTTTATGGCATATCAACCACTGTAGGTCATTTAATGCCAAATTAAGTTTATATATATATATATATATATATATATATATAAATATACAGTACTATTAAACGCATAGCTGGCAACATTATTTTTCCAAAAACATTATCTAAGGCCTTGCTGTTGGACATAGTTTATTGTCATACCCAGGACGCGGATGTAGTTTGTCATACCCAGGACGTGTTTTGGAAATAAAGAATCATTTAAGCAAACACAGAAACCTACCAAAATCCACTGCAATATACTTGTAGAAAATACAACTATAATAGCCTCATCCACATCTAAAAAGAAAAGGCTATAAATAATTGAAGCATTGATAATAAAAAAGAAAAAGCCAACACTCAATAACATCAGCTATGAGCATGGTCACAATGTGTTGACTGTGTTTGCAAAATAAAAAGCATTCCAATAAAATTAGATGCATACATAAAATATGCACATTCAGTTAAAAATAAAAATAAAAAAAATCCTTGATAATGGCTAAAAGAATAACTGAAAGTGCTCATCTATGCAGAACATGTGGATAATTTTTACACATTTTATGTCCTGAAAAGACATAAATACTTATATGGACACAAGAAAACTTAAATAAAATGCATAACAGTACCTTGTAAGTCGTCCTTAATGAAATCTGTTTAAAAGAGGTATTGCTGCTTAAATACATGATTTATATATATATATATATATATATATATATATATATATATATTATAGTCATCCACATACAAGCCTATTTCACAGTATCACAGCTCATCAGTGTGGCTAGACATTCGATTGCTTCAAGACTCAACCGATTTGGCATCAGTTAGAGATTCTACCCCTAAGCTATTGGCACACGGTATAGAAAGGGAAATTTTTAATGTATTATATACATGATGTATACAAATGCCAATAGCACTCAATTCATAACTGAAGAGCAATGTGTTTATAGCAGGAGCAGACATTGTGTTTTAAAATTACCCTTTTCTCTAGAGTGCTCAATTGGGAAAATAATATATATATATATATATATATATATATAAAATATTTAACTAAATGGAAATTTAAACATATTTAATGAATCCTCCATGGTATATTACAGGTTATATTGTTTCTTGGAACAAGATATAAACCAGTAATAGTGAGTTCATCCCACTGAGATGTGTTTAAGACTAGACATGTCTTTAACATTATTTTTAAATCAATTTGCTTCAGAACTTTAAAACAATATTTATTTTATTTTAGACTTATTTATCAAATTATATTTACTTTGGATTGAAAGAGAGTTGTCTAAGGTGTGCTGTGTATGTAATTTCTGTTTTCTCAGTAATAACTTAAATACCATTCCAGTTTCAATATTTTCCTTGTAGGAATTAGAAAACTTTCCTCAGCCTTGTTACATTACAAGAACAATCCTAACTATTATTAATCTTTGATTAATACTGCTTTCATCTTAATTTAAATTATTCAAACTGTCAATCTACAACTAAGTAAATAACATGGATTGCTTTGATTAATTTGATCTTTTATCAACTTTAAAAGCCCTGGAAGAGCAGCTGCCACACATAGGTGGGCTTCTTGAGATAAAAAGGGATGAAATTGAATCTCACTAATTCCTTATTTCTGTCCCATGTTGTTACTGGTGACCATAGATTTGATGGATGAGTAGTGGTGAAATGTAAATATAATTAATTTGATGAGTTGAGCTAGCTAAATATAACTGTAAATTCTATGCTAACAGTTTCTTTTCTCACGTTTCTTGCTTGTGGAACTCCATTCCAGCTCCATTCCATTTCCAACCAACTTTAATCTGCAAAAGTTTAAATGCAATGTCAATTGTTATCTGCTGTCTTCCTGATTACTCTTTTCTCTTTCCACTCATTATTAATGTTTCTTTTTCTAATTCTTCTAAATCCTATAAACCATTGTGGCTTTACTGCCTTGCTTGGGGTGATACCAATTAAAATAAAAAGGCATGCACCTTCCTTTTCATCTTGCAGTGAACACGGTTGTCTTGTCCCTCTCTGTGCTTTTTTGACTTTTTGCTCCTAGAGACCACTGTCCCACAGAGAGCAGATCCCCTTTGTCTCACCAGCCTTGCCCAAAAAAGTAATTCACCAAGAACCCAGGATCATGCTCCATCCAGCAACCCTCAACAATCATCAAAAACAACAACTATTGAAACAATTTCCGTAACATCATTCAGATGTTTTACCCCAATAGGATATCAGCTGACACTGATAATACTACATTGGTTAATAATGCTTCATCTAATAAAAAAATAATATGAGTTAAATTTACTGGTACATTCCTCTTTTTAAAACACTGTTACATTTTTAAATCTTATATTTTCTTTGTAAAACAAAAACCGATATTTGATGTTGTATGATCTATATAGATCTTTTGAATATAAAATTAATTATTGTTTTTTTTTATAATAATTCAAATTGTTTTGATGATTTATATTGACTGATTTCATGCTGATCTGTTTGAATCACAAGGTACATTTTTCTTTTGAAAAGCAAGCAAGCTAAGGTTGAGGAAATATGCAATTTTTTCTATATTTTCTCAATCTTAGCTTGTTTGCTTATCATGAAGCACTGATTTAATTATAATGCTGTAATTAATAAACTGTTCTGTCTTCAGTTATGAAGTGTTGTCATTATTTAATGAATTATTCTAATTAGTTTCAACATCATTGTTGATGTTTTGATGACTTTTCAGCCAATGCCTTTTTATTGTCTGAAGTGAAGTGATAATGATGAATTACTAATATTAATATCTTCATCTCTGTTGTTTTGATAACTTCATTTCAGCTAATGGTTATTCTGATGTTCTTCACATGTATATCAGAGCCAGTAATCTTAAATCGTTTTTAATTAATTCTAAATGTTTCAGATTTGTTTCACATTATAGATTTTTAAAAAATTAAAAACAAAAGTTATTGCTCTTCAAAAAAATTGCTTTTAGTACTGCAGTAAAATTTAAAGAAAAAATAATTAAAGTTAATAATGCATCATTAATCCAAGGAAGGCTGGACAATCCACATAGTGAAACACCAGTTCTCATACGATCACCGAAGTTAAGTAAAGTTGAGTCTGGTCAATACCTAGATGGGTGATTGCTTGGGAATATCAGATGCTTTATCTTGAATATGCAATTGGTGTAATGTAAAGTGGCTTGAAATTGGAAATTTCAGTTTGGTTTGGTTTCTTTTATGGCATATCAACCTCAATAGGTTATTTAATGCCAACAAGATTTTTATTGGTGGTAATATTTTTTTCCAAAAATGTATTGTTGGTAATACTTTTTTCTTCAACAATGCATTGCTGATAATATTTTTTTCCTTTAAAAATCACCTTGCTTTGGGTGAATTGATTCAAAGAAAAAAAAAAAGTTGGTGCTAAATTCTAATTCCAGGTGGCTTCATTATATTCACTTACATGCAAATACCCTTGCGAAAGGTATGAATCCATCTCCCCAGCTATGGGTTAAATAGTAGTAGTTATATCAATAAATCATTATCTCAAAAAAAAATTTTTCAGTCTAAAAATATTTTCTGGCTTTAAATAACATGCAAAAGGTTGATAAGCCATGAAAAAAGTCAATCAATCCTTAGACCTGGTCAGTCTTTATCAGTCATGGGGATAACAATACAGTGTTGCCAAATATTACATAGATGCCATGAAAGAGCATGTTGATAATTTACTTCAGGATGATCAGTTGATCTACATAAGTTGCGAGTCGACAGAAAGGATATTTGAAATAAACAAGCAAGAGAGAGATTTATGCCTTGTAGTAACTTCTCTTCAAGAAGAACCTAATTCTGAGATAATTCTACATGCTGTTGTAGCTGCAGAAGATGTAGCCCAACAGATAGTTGTTGACAACACAGACACGGATGTTCTTGTTTTTACTTCTGCATCATTGATAAACTATCAGTGCTGAAAAGTTGTTCTTCTTAACCTGGTGCATTGGATAATACACATTACTCTACTAAATGCATACTCCTATATCTGCAATATAAGAAACAATCCCCTGGGCCAATAAACATCATTCTTCCCATTTACTGTATAACAGGCTGTGATACAATCACTCCTTTCATGGTTACAAAAAAACATTTAAAATTATGATGGGGAAAGCAGTTTCTATCAGTCTCTCAACCGCCTCGGGATACATCAATGAAAAATTAGAAGACCAGAGAGAAAAGCTTGCATGCATGTTGTTAGAGCCCTATACGGGGAAAGTAGAATGCAATTTACTAAATACACTATGTTGTGAAAAGGCCACAAAAGTGTTAAACCAAGGAAACTTCACCACCACAATATGTGCTTTGTGCATCATACCAGTTGATGGTGTGCCAACAAGCAAATCGGCCCAACTCCGGATATCTCTGATCCAATTGCTTGGAGATACTACAGGGATGTGTCTAATTCACTCTACCCTATAATAATGACTCAGTCAGCTGCAATATCAATGCTGTTGTATGAATTGATTTGCTGATGCAAAGAAAACTCTTGCATGTGTCTCACACCCAATCAACTATGTACGTCTTCTCATAGACTGGCAATATGGAGGCCCAGACTACATGCCCACCCCTCTCTCTCGGCCATACCAACAAGATCCAAAGAAATACAAGGCATTACATTTAATCCTCAAAAATTTAAATGCAATGCCAATCATTATCCATTGTTCTCTTAATTCCTTTTGTTTTATTGTTCTCTCCTTAATGTTATTTTTTTCATACTCAGTAACCCCTTGTGTCTTCATGGCTTCATTTCTCTGCTTGGGGGTGAAGTGATTTTAGGCACAGTTGCTGTACAATGTTATCATTGTAAAGTTAATGTTGGCATGAGATTGCGTAGTTTTGAGGACTTTCTTCAAATGTTGATCTTCTTGTGAAGATGTAAGAGAATTTGACTTTTCCCTCTTGGGTGGTGTGCTTATATGACTTTGTAACATCTCGCACGTTCACATTTTAAGCTCAGACAGGTCCACCTCTTGTTTATATGGATTCCTGATTTTAACACTTTGGAGGTATGAGGCTTCTGTGTCAACCTTTTGATGCATCTGGCTCTTTTGATGCTCTGGTTTGACAGTGAGCTTACTTTAATATTTCTTAGAGTGAGCCCAGTATATATTGGAATCACCACAGATCAACTCCTCTTAACACAAAGGTTCCTTCTTCACATAAAGTTTTATTCTCTGATATTTCTTGGTGTAAATCACATACTACAGCTGCACACACCATTAGCCCCTAAAGCCACAACAGATATTGCTCTATCAACTAAAAACTGAAGCAATATCTCTGATCTAATGTGATTAATGGATGCCATAATAACAATTAAAATATATTATGGAAAGGGATAAAATTTTAGGCAGCTGCTTATTTTGACTGAAGGAAATACAAGAGCAGTCATAGGCAAACTGCGGCTCATTTGGTCTTTCATAAAGAAAATAACATTTCTTAAAATTTTCTGTTTTTAATTCTCACTTGTTCACACACATATTCTCACACATAACCATATACATAAACAATGATTAAGTACAATGTTTCTTGAATTTTATAACCTTTCACTGAAGGTAATGTTTTCAGCATTTTAAATTATTGGTGATTTTCACTAAGGAAGATCATACGTGTAAACATACCTTGCTTTTGAAACAAAAAACATTCATAATAATCTTTTTCTCTGGAGAAGAAATATACTTTTTTTTTAAATTTTTCAAATGAATAAATTAGAAATAAATCGCACACAGTGATACGTGTTTTATTCACACTGTCATCAGTGATAATATTATATGAAGACTTCAACTTTTTAACTATAGAAAAAAATCTTTTCTTCAAAAACAAAAAAAAAAGAAATTTCACCTATGACTTTTCACCCATTTCTAAGATGTATGCCTATGCATATGGTTTTCTGTAATGAAAATAACTGCGGTAACTACTATGAAAATTTACCTGCCATGTGATGAGTCATAGGCCATGTGGCCAACTGCTTGAAAAAGGTTGTCCATTCCTGCACTAGTGTCTCCAGCAGTTGAAACGAAATAATCAAAATGACAAAAATAGGGGTACTAGTCAGAATCTATTAAAATAGATTATTAAGAGGGATGAGGGTCCTTAGAAGCTGCCTTTTCTGACTGATAGAAGTGTTTGTTATTTATAAATGATTGATATGTGTTTGTTTATTTTAGGTACTTATTGCAACAAGTACTTTGGCTTGGGGTGTAAACTTTCCAGCTCACCTCGTCATCATTAAAGGTACTGAATATTACTGTGGCAAAAGCAGACGTTATGTGGATTTTCCAATTACTGGTAAGTAGTTTTTCTCCTCTTTTCTAATGATAGAATAATTCTGATATATAAAACAGTCTGGCATACAGATATAGAATGGCAGGTTGGTTATTCCTGAGTATGCTCAGTTGTTAGTGTAGCTAGCTAATCCCTGTTGCAGATGCTTGCTCAGGCACAATTGTATTTGTTCAACAACCCAGAGTCAACCTGCAACTATACTGAACAGGCAAGATCACAGTCTGGCACGATCAGTAATTGAACATGGCCCGTATGTTTAAACAATCGGTCATGATGACTAATTTGGTAATTTCTGTCTGAATTTCTGGGATGAGAAGTTATCATTATTTACACTATTTATATTAGGACTATTATCCCCATCTTTATTGTTGTTACACTGTTTCGGTTGTTGTGCCAACTGGCCTTCCTCAGGTGTTACTATTCTTTGAATGATTTTCTTTATACTACGATTATTTTGTGTCATGTTGATTTAACTCATATAAAAATTTTTGGCAGAATATTTATTTGAACCAATATTTGAACCAATGAACAAGAATGGACTGAAAAGTTCATGGGCTGATTATGAAAGAGTGATGCTTCAGCTGTGAAATCTGGCATACATTAATTTCAACTTTTCTTATTAATAACTACATGTTTCTTTCTAGGTAAACTGACATCTGACTATTCAAAGAAGACTCCAGAAGTAACAAGTAGCAAATTCTAAAATGGACAAAACTTGTCACTGTGGTTTTATCAAGTATGTGTAGAAAAAGGGTTTAGCCCCCAAAGACATTCATGCTGACATGATTGCTACATTATAGGATGACACTCCAGCTTTACCGGCTGAAGTTAGGTGAAGAAGATGACCCAAGGTCTGGATGTCCTGCAATTGCCACCATTAAGTAAAATATTGATCATGTTCACCACATTGTGATGGATGACACGTGATGACTGTAAATCAAATAGCCATTGCTATTCTGTGTGAGAGTTGAGAATATTCTGCCCAATGAACTTGACATGATAAAGGTTTCTGCTTGGTGAGTGCCACATCTTCTGACACCTGATCAAAAGCACATCAAACTGAAAACATTATGGGAAAAGCTGACATTGATTCATCTGCAGGGAAGGTGATTTTCTATTTTCTGGGATGTCAAAGGCATTGTGCTTATTAATTATCATCAAAAGGGCCATACCATCAATGAAGAGTACTATGCCAACTTGCTGAGGCAGTTATGAAAGATTATCAAAACCAAATGCCCAAGGAAACTGATAAAAGGGGTCTTATTTCATTAGGACAATGTTCCAGCACTCAAGTCCTTGGTTTCAATGGCTTCTGTGCATGACTGTGACTTTGAACTGGTTGATCACCCTCCCTATTCTCCTGATTTGGCTATCATCTGTTCCCCAACATGAAAAAAATACTTGGCTTGGAGTCAGTATCACAGTGATGATGATGTCAATATCTACTGTTGATGACTTTTTTGACCAACAGAATGAACAGTCTTCTTTGAACAGTCAGATGTCAGTTTATCTTGAAAGAAACAATGCAGTTAATAATAAGAAGCACTGAAATTAATGCATGCCAGATTTCACAGTTCTAGCATCACTCTTTTATCGTCAGCTGATGAACTTTTCAGCCTATCCTTGGATTTTATAAAATGAAAAATTCCCACTAGCATGACTATTCCAGTCGGCCCTTGTACTTAGTACAAAAGAGTAAGAAGTATATTTACCGAGTATTTGTTTTTCAGTTGCCTATATTATATTTTTTCATTACTCTTAAATGGTATCATGACTGTTTTAACTTTGATAAAATTGCCAAATTTAATCTTTAAATTTGTTAATTTTAATATTTTATTCACAGTCAGATCTTCCTATTTTAAGTTCTTACCTTGGACATATTTCTTTTGATTTATAAATAAAAGAAAATATTAAAATAACTCTCCATATTTTCACTCAATTTGAAACACTATCTATCCCATAATAGTTGTTGCATTTCATATTATCATTCAACCCACCCAAACCCGCTCTGTAAATATCGGCTCTCAGTGTTCAACTCACCATAATCGAACACATGTATACTCTGCCATAATATATGATGACATCTTTGCAAATAATGCAGGAAGTCACGCAAACAGTGTGGGTCTGACCACAAACAGTGAAACTTTGAGAGAAAATATTTACAAGATGGGTTTGAGCATGTTGAATGGTAAATGATTAAATTTGTGCTGAGGTAATCATTATATTTGTAAACAGAAACAAAAAATAAACTCAATGAAAATGAAATAATTTATTCAGTCAGTGCTTAGAACAATTAATTCCGAGAAACATTTAAATTTACATTTAAGCATTTTGGTATTAGGTTTACATTTAATACTGTTAGGTAGGTATTTTTTTATATAAATTATAAAGTTATTTATATATATATATATATATATATATATATATATATATATATATATGATAAGAATTTAGTTTTATGGTTTGCTATACTTATTGGTTAAAGTGCTCAATATTGGGGTTGGATTGTATGTAAATATAAAGTTAAATGTAATTTTCAGGTCATTATGATTGAATTAAAGAGACTGTTGCTACTGGGTGTTGGCTTCAATGTCCCATTTTATATATATATATATATATATATATATATATATATATGTCTGTGTCTGCCTAATTTTATCAGAATTGTTTTCATTTAACATTATATCATTTTACATATTGTTAAATGTCCACCCATAGTTAATGTTATGAACTAAAATCTATAAACACACCAGGTGCAATTTTGAAAATATCAAGTTTTGCTTACCTTAACAGTTGGCATTATTTAAAAAAAAAAATGACTACAGTCGAGTTTAAATGCAACAACAAAAAATTATTGCTCAAGATATAAACCTTAATAAATGTTGCAAAAAAAAAAACAAAAAAAACGTGCAAATAATACCAACTATTAAGGGGTAGAGTAATTATTGTTAAGTTCTCTTGATTCATTTGTTTAAATACACCATTATTATAATTAATAAATCTCCTTTTGTAATTTGCATTTGAAAATGCTTTTCTTACGGTCAGATTTCATGTATTGGTATAATTTTCTTTTTGCCTTTAGTCTATAATTATTGTTCTTTAATGCATAGTATTTTTTAAATGAACTTCACACAAAAATGATGGACAATTAAAGCAGAAAATTTGCTACGAGCAATTGATCAATAAAATTGTTATCATGATTTTCTTTCTTTGTCTTCTAGATGTCTTACAAATGATGGGACGAGCTGGAAGACCACAATTTGATGCCCAAGGAAAGGCAGTCATTCTGGTTCATGATATAAAAAAGCATTTCTATAAAAAATTTCTCTATGAGCCTTTCCCAGTTGAATCCAAGTAAGTTATGATGTGATTAATAATATGTTAAGATTCATATTGCCAAAGCTACATAAACTCACTGCAGTAGTAATGCTATTTGGTATACTTGGTATTTGCTAAGATTTTTACTATTTATGTTTTAGATTAGTATTGCACCAGGCTACAAGTTTTGTGCACTCAGTGAAAAACTAACTGGCTATAATAATAACGGTCAACACGACATGCTTGTCAGACATCACTCCAGATGCCCAAGTGCTGTATGGTAGAAAGCTCCAAATGTGGGGCACCCAGTTTGGATCAAACTCGTTACATTAATAAGAACTTGCATGATTACCTTGTTAACTATTGTACCATAATGATATCTTCAATTACTGTTTAAGCTTAGGTTATTTTTTCGCAAGAACACAAATGCCTTCACAGATGATAAAACTCACACTACACTAGTTACAGGTCTCTAATAGAAGTGTCCAAAAATGCCACATTTGATAAACTTCAGATTCTTGAAAGCTGCAGGATATAAACTGTTATTTTTTTACTTAGATATTTTGTGACAATTTTTTTATAAAAATTAACATGATGAAGAAATGTTTGGTTAGATTGTTTGATTTATACAACAACCCTTGCTGGATTGTTTACTGTTGAATTTGTATGGGGTACCCAATGAGGATCAAACTTACTAATTAGTAGTAATCGTCAAACAGACTAACCATTACCCCATGCCAATGCCATGCTACTTAAAAAATACATGTGCAAATTAGTATTTATTAATGTATGAAACATTTGTACTGTTAATTTAATGCTGGATAATTTCTTTGCAGATGAAGAGGTAACTTTAGGCCACAGAATGATACTAACAATACCATAGATAGAGCTTGTAAGCAAACAATTAATTTTTAAGGAAAATGAGAGCAAAAAAGACACAAGTACTTACGATCAGAAAAAAAGAATTGAAATATCTGGATGCATAATAAAAAGAGCTTGGAGAATTTGACACTCACTGGATATATTGAAAGCAAGAGGGGTAGAAGGAAATATGAAGTAACCTACCTAATAATCCTGTGTTAATGGATGGCAGAATATGGACTGGGATGGATAGTAAGGAGACAAACAATGCTTAGAACTATAAAAGATAGGAAGTTGTGGAAAGCCATGATCAAACTACCTAATGAACCTGTGTTAATGGACTGGGAGGGGCCAAACAATGCTTAGAACTATAAAAGATAGGAAGTTGTGGAAAGCCATGATCAACCTACCTAACGAACCTGTGTTATGGACTGGGAGGGGCCAAACAATGCTTAGAACTATAAAAGATAGGAAATTGTGGAAAGCCATGATCAACCTACCTAACAAGTCTGTGTTAATGGATGGCAGAATATGGACTGGGAGGGATAGTAAGGGTCCAATCAATGCTTAGAACTATAAAGTATAGGAAGTTGTGGGAAGCCATGATCAACCTACCTAATGAGCCCGTGTTAATGGATGGCAGAATATGGACTGGGAGGGATAATAAGGAGACAAACATGGCTTAGAGCTACAACAGATAGGAAGTTGTGGAGAGCCATGATCTCTCATGACCTGAAGGAACACAGTACATAAAAGAAGATACACGTCTATAGCAAATATTTTCATAATTTTGATTAATGATAATTTTAGCTGTGTTTAATATGGTAATGAACTATAGGAACTACAAAGAAATATGCAAATTTGTATTTCACTCATATAAGATTTACATAAAAATATGAATAATAATGTGATAATTATAAGGCTTGCCGTATTTTCTTATTTAACTTGGCTATTAACTGTGAGAAGAAAAGAAACTCAACCAACATGTTTCCACATGCCACACGTGTTTTTTTATGTGTCCTTCAGGATGTAGTCAGACATGGCTCTCGACAACTTCCTATCCTTTGTGGCCCTTACCTGTATTTCTCTCTTTGCCTAGCCTCTCATTTTGCTATCCAATCACATAAAGTTGTCAGGTAGGTCATTCTCCGCGTTCCCCTATTTCTCTTGCCCTTGATATGCCCAAGCTCCCTAATTATGTGTCCAGGAAATTTCAACCACCTCTTTCTGATTTTCCCTATTAGTGTTCTTTTTGTTACACTTTTCTTTAAGACTTCCTTGTTGAGCCAGTTTAGTCTCCTCTCAAATTAACTTGTTAGCATCTGTTCTGTAATGAAGCTCTCTTAAGTATTAATTATCCGCCTGCCAATCCTATTCTGTTCATCTCTATCACGTGTTTGTGCATTTAATGTTTGACAAATCCTAAGTTCATTTGATTCATCATTAGTAACAAAACAGTCATGTAGTTTTATTTCTGGTATCATTTTTGTTTTGTACTCTTTAGGTCAGTATTTCTCAACTTTTTGTTTTTCAGGGTGCACATGTAGAATGACTAAAACTCTGGGACACGCTTTAAATTTTAATAAGGAAAAATAAGTCCTGAAATTTGAAAGTAAGAAAATAATAAAGAAGTCTCCTGAAATAAGCATTTATTTTTTTTAAGATATTACATTGCTTGGTATCTAGCTTTTTTAAAAGTAAAAATTTTTTAAATATAAAAATAATAAATAAATTACTCTTCTGGTGGTGCTTTCAGAGTACATTAGTGTGCACTAGTTGAGAAACACTGCTTTAGATAGACTAAGAAAATCTTTGCAATTGTTTGAGATAGAAATGTCCTGAACAAATTGAACAAATCCATATTTAAACAATATGACTAATTCGTGAATTCCTTTGGTCATAGGTGTGCTGAAGTCATTAAAAGTCATGGCCTGTATATATCTTATTAATTTTCTGTATCGACATGAAGTAAATAATGCTGTTAATTTAATTCAAATGTGTATTTTCAATTTTGTTGTCTAATTTTGGACGTTACACTTTTTTTCATAATAAATAATTTTTGTTTTATAACTCTCTTTGTCCTGGTTTCTTTTTATCAAAATTTGCCAATGGAGAATGATTCTTTTAAGAATATTCACTGCAGTTTTTCATCACAATTAAATTGGTAGATTTGTGAGAATTTCATATTTAAACTTTCCTTTAATATTGGTAATATTGGTCACAACTGGTTCAGTAATTTTAGCTCATTTTCTTTCAGTCCACATATATAAAACTTATATATCCAGTTATCTTAGGCTGAAGTGTCAGGGAGAGGCGCTTTGATGTTAAGCAGAGTATACAGATACTACACTTTGATCCAAGACAAAGGATAAGAAAGTGACACTTTGATCTTAGGTGACACACAGATATTCAGATATGAGGCAGAAGTGCCAGGAAGTGAAACTTTGATCTAAAACAGAGTACACAGATACTACACTTTGATCCAAGACAAAGGACAAGAAAGTAACACTTTGATCCTTGCTGTCACACAAATATTCAGATCCTAGGTTTGCTCTTAAGCAGATTACACATATATTACACTGATCCAAGATAAAGAGCAAGAAAGTCACACAGATATTCAGATCCTAGGTAGAAATGCCAAGGAGTTAAACTTTGATCTTAAGCAGAATACACAGATACTATATTGTGATCCAAGACAAAGGACTTCACTTGGTGTCACACAGATATTCAGATCCTAAGCAGTGCCAATCTATAAATCCTGTTATTGCTGGGTTGCGTGATGTTTTTTTTAGTCCTATCTGAATTGTAATTTTGTCAGATATGTTCCTACCTGGGGGATTCCTGAGAGACCTTTCTAATGCTTCTCTGTATGTTTAAATTGTTTTTATCACTACTGATAAATTTAGAATCATGTTTCTTCCATTTTTTATCAATCTTATCTCATCACTTCTTTTGCCATGTCAACAGAGTTATCAGGTTGCTTACTGATAACTTAAAACTAACACTCTCTTGCATCTGCTGTTTATAGCATTGCTGCTATTAAAAGAAGCATTTGATTCTCTTGTCACCGTGACACAAAGATAGAAAACAGTATGATCCTTCAACGGTTGTCACAGTATATTTACATCGTTATCTGATCTCTCATAGTAACTACAACATGCACACGCATATGCACAATGGTAATATTAGCTGTTTCCTTATAAGGAAACTTTCAGTATTCATTGACCGAGAAGCCAATGTTGCTTTTGATTGAATTTTATAAAATCTTCCTCTTAAAACAATTTTTTGGGAGAGTAAGTATTTTTGAGATCAGTGGCTATTATCACTCTTTCCAGTATTGATGGAGGCTTTCCTTCCTTGCCTTATCTTTGAGGCAGTGTGGAACATTGAAATCTTGATAATGTCATTATATGAGTTTTAGTTGTTGCTGGTGTTGAAAGACCTCAGGGGATTTGGTTTCTGTTACCTGGTGCAGTTCTTTGTTTGTGATTCTCCAGCACCAATCTACAAGTTTCAAAGAAAGATGGTCTTTGCTGAAACTTACATACTTCACTTACTGGAAGACATTTTTAACTATTGATCTGAGAAAGTGGTTGTATACAGCTGGCAGTTTAGATATTTCTAAACAAGTTTGGCACCATGTGTAGCATCCATATGAAAGTCTCAATCTGATAAGACTATTTAAGAACAAAACTTAAGTTTTTCGGTTAATGTTTTGATTTTGTAGCAACTTGTAGTATTGGGTGAAACTACCCTTAGCACAGTCTATTCTATGTTCAATTTATTTATCTCCTATACTAAATTTGTTATAACTGATACATATACCAATGTATTTGAAGTGTTTAGCATTTACTAATTCTACATCCTGAGTTTTTATGATGGATTCAGTATATCTGCCATCACTGCTTCCATTCTAATTCCAGATCATAGTTTATCATAAGTCCTTCTTTTGGAACACATTTAGGATTTATTAAATAAAATCTTTTTCTTAAAACAATCTTGAAAATAGGTTTCTCATGACCAGTAGCTATCATCACTCTCTCCAGTGTTAGGAGGGAGGCTTCTTTTCTTGCCTTATGTTTGAGGTAGTGTGGAAATGCTACCTCAAACATAAGACAAAAAAAAATACATCCTGATTATGTCATTATTTTCTCTTTGAGTTACATTTACTATTCATTTTAGTTGTTGCTGATGTTGAAAGTCCTCAAATGATCTAGTTTTTGTCATCTGGTATAGTTCTTTGTTTGCGATTCTGTCATGTTTGTCCACAAGTTTTGAAGAAAGTTGCTCCTTCCTGAAATTTACATGCTTCATTTGTTTGAAGCCATCTTTACTTTGAGAAAATTGTTGTATTACTGCTGACAATTTAAATATTTCTGAACAAGTTTTGCAGCATGCATCACATCCATATGAAAATCTTTGTCTAATGAAACTGTTTAAGCACATGACTCAAGTTTTTAGGTTAATGTTTTGATTTCGTAGCAACTTACCACTATCACAGTTTATGTTCAATTTCCCTATCTCCTATACTAAATCTGTTATAACATTACACTTACTGCTAAAACAACACTGACACTTCCAGCAAAACTTTCATCAAATTATAATATTCTGGGGGTCGTGCATCGTAGTTTTGTAGCTAATACATTATCACAGGTTACTCCAGCAATACATCATAATATCATCTGATTTTGTTGGCTTTCCATCACAGGATGAGAATTCCATATCCATGCAGTTACAGATTCTGCTTGATTTTGGAATAACCTTTCAACTTTTGAAGAAGACCAGTATGCCAAACCCTGTCAAATGACTCTGAGATATTTAAAGCAACAGCCCAAGTTTTACTATTCATATCTAAAGCTTGGTAGACTCTTTCAGCAATAATCATTAATACATCAACAGGTATACCCTTCAGCTGATATGTATGGTGCACCCTTCGGCTGATATGTATGGTGCACCCTTCGGCTGATATGTATGGTGTATACTTCCTGATTATTGAACAAAACAATATTCTATTCACCATTAAATAATAAGGAAATTTTCTCTACTAAATTTAACTATTTCAACTATGTCACCAGAAACATTCACTATCTAGCAATCAATTCTTCTGATGATGCACAGAAGTGTTATACATCAATACTGGAAAGAGCAATAACAGCTACTGGACTTGAGAAACCTATTTTCCAGAAAAATTGATTTAAGAGGAAGATTTTTAAAAATTTTAACCAACACCAGTACTGGCTGCTCATTCAGTGAATGCCAAATGTTACCCTTTTAAGAAAATGGTTAATATTACCATTACCACACACACACACAATTTATTTTGTTATATGTTGATTCAAGTTATCTTTGTTGTATTTGATGAAAGTAATTTTTTCATATTTTATTCTGTTTGACTGTTTGACTGTTTTTTTTTTGTTTTTTTTTTTTATATCAGTTTGTTATCTGTGCTACCTGACCATTTGAATGCAGAAATTGTCTCTGGAACAATTAATTCTAAGCAAGATGCTATGGATTACATCACATGGACCTACTTTTTCCGTCGGTTGGTCATGAATCCAAGGTTAGTAGCATTTCTTATTCATAACATATTTGATTCTTTTATGAGAAGTCATATGGTCTTAATATTCTGATTGTAAATTGATAAATAGATTTTATGAAGAGGCTCAATAATGAATGAGTTGTTGCAATGGAACAGGGATTCCGCTCTCATAAAAATACCTCCTTGTTGCACTTAAAATTTGGATTGGCATATTAACTTACATCAGATTATTATTATCATTAAATAAACATTCCTGGAAGAGCTCATATTTGGTTGAGATGGTTCCGGAAATTCTAATATCTGCATTGTTTTTACCAGTTCCAAAGCCAATTATCTTTAATGCTATATAACAAAGTAGATTTGGTAGCAAATTATTTTACATCATAAGATCAGTAACTATAAAAATAACTTAATCTTTTATAATTTGCTTATCTCATTATATATATATGTGTGTGTACATATATATATATATATACACACACACACACACACACACATGCACATACATATATATATATATATAGTAAGAATAATAGCTAAAGCTTAAAATTTAAATTCAATCCATTTATTTATATATAAAATTCTGTGACTTCCATTAGTTTGTCCATCCATCACAACCTCTAAAATAGCCATACATTAACTGATCAAAGCCAAATTTTGGGCATAAGTGCAAGCAGCTAAGAGGGTACAAAGTACAGTTGGTTTTACTAAGGTGTGTAGCTTAGTGCAATAAATTTTCCTTAAATTTTTAGAAAAATTAAAAGTTTTATTATTTAACATACAAAATACTCCCACTATTCAAAAACAATTTAATCAACAATACGAAATGCTGTGAAGATTTTAACATGGGCTACCGTGCGGCAAAATAATTCTAGTAATACCAAAATCTACAACTCAGTTTTTCATATAATAGCAATCGTCTAGCCTGATGAATTTTGGTATTATTAAATTAATATTATTGTTATATATGGTAATCATTTACTTAAGTGGCATAAAATAATCAGTTCTGCTTTGCTTAAATGTCATTTTATATCTTTTAAATTTTTTTTAATCATAAATATCACTGTGACCAATGGTATAGTAGCCATTGGATATTTGGTAGTATTGAGCAGGGTTCAGGAAAGCGTTTCTTAGTTGAGGTTCCAGATTGGTGAGTAGAAACTCTGAGAGAGATGATTATATATTTAGCTTAGAAGCCATATTGTTTCAGATGTTTGGGCTGCTTATGCTAGAATGAAGGAAATCAACCACGGGATATATTCTCATGACTTTGTTATTCATCCATGTTCATAGTCCACCATTATCTGCTGTAATAATGTTTAATTGTAATAAATATATATACTTTGGTCTTGTTGATTTTACACCATACAGGGAATAGCAGTTTATTTTATGCTGCTTAAGTAAAGAATTACTATATATATATATATATATATATATATACACACACACCTCACCTTTATGTTGGTATTTGTTCCAGGAGAGGTGACTTAAGTCAAAAAGCAACTTAAGTCAAATTTACTTGTTTCTAGGCTAAACCACAAATAACTATTCCTAGTTGTGTATTTTATTTATAAATGCATTTTTAATAATATATGGTCAATAAGAATCTATTTTAAGCTTACAAACAAATAAATTTTAGTCTTGAATATGGTACACAAAAAAAAATAATCTAAACTTAAAAATACATGTACATACATACTTGTAAATGTTGATGTTTACAATTTGGCATTTTTTACAGTACATCACGGACTCTTTATTTGTGGTTTGCTGTAAGACATTATAAAATAAAATGATTTTATAAGGTTAAATAACAAATAGTTATTAAAATTATTTTGTGATAGTAGAAAATAAACTAATTTATGTTAAATTTACCAGGAATTATGATGATTATATTAACATTTACTGTAAATATACATATTTTAATATGATCTTAAATACTTTTATTCTTATTTATTGTACAGTAATTACGACTTCAATATTTGTGATGGACAGACGTAAAGTCAAATAAAATGTCTTAGACTTGATTTTTATTTTTCCATATATTTTTTTGACAAACGACGTATAATTGAGAACGACTTAAATGACGTAACCCAAACTATACCTGTGTGTGTGTGTGTGTGTGTGTGTATATATATATATATATATATATATATATATATAAAAACACAAAACTGTTGATTAGTGTATTTCTGGAAGTTAACACTTTTAAGGCAAGCATTCTTTGTAAGTAAATATTAAGAATTAGAACATTAATATCAATAAAATTTTCAAACTTATCTTCCCAACTTAAGAGTTTTATAGAAATATCAAACATGTTAGCATTTCTATAAAACTTTGAATCAGGATGATAAGTTAGAATTTTGATTATATTTGTTTGCTCTATATAATGCTTATCTCTCATATATGATAATGGTTGGTTTCTCATTTCCAAGTACACTCAATGTAACTAGTTAATTCCTATTGCAGGCTTCTGCTCAGGTACATATGTGTCTCATCAACATCTATTAGAGCCAACCTGTGGTTTATACTGCAACTATGCAGAGCAGACCTTAGTTACAGTTTCTGGGAGAGAGTGTATAATCTGGCATGATCAGTATTTGAACAAGGCCAGCTTACTCAAACCATTAGTCACAATGACTTTTATGCTAGCGCATAACTATTGATGATTTCCAAACAGTATCAAATTTCACTTGGGTCAATCTGTGGTATGGTTTTGTGCTGCATGGTAGTTATGTCTCCCTATAGCAATATTATCAAGAATTCACATCCTTGACAATTCAACCATAGTTTGGATTCAAACCTAAGTCTCATGATTGGAATGCTAACATTCTAACTACTCGCCCTTATATATATATATATATATATATATATATATATATATATCAGTGTGGTTAGACATCTGGTTGGCGCATGACTGGAATGAAGGTGAATTTAAGTGTATTTATTTTTAGATAAACATGCCAGTGACTGAGAGAATTCAATTTGTTTTATCGAAGAGTATTGCATTAGTAGCAGTAATAGTCCCTATTTACAAACCCACACTTTCTCCCCAGAGACCTCAACCAAAATAATTTTTCAAGAGAATATATATTGTCATCCACAGACAGACTGTTTTGCTCTCTCTCTCTCTCTCTCTATATCTATATATATATATATATATATATATTATAGTAATAAATTCATATTTATATAATCCAAGTGGATAATAATAATATAAAATATTAAAACTGATCCACAAAAAGAGCTCAATGTATTTATTATAACAGAGCATATAAAGTTGAAAAATGCTAGCACATTGACATTAGTTAAAATAGTCTATATTCAAGAGGTCATTTTGGATTTCTCCATTATGTAATATATATAATCACTGTTTTGAAAAGATGAGCAGTGCCTGCAACAAACCCTTCAGTCGACGACCCTCAGATCAGGTATGATTTCAGTCTTGAAACATCATTACCACAAACCCAGCACACCCCAGTAGTATGTCAGAATATCACTTGGCTTTGTTATTTTTATATCACAGTGTGTGAGTGCCAGATCTCTGCAGATGCTACCTCTGTTTGATCTTGAAACCTCTTCATATATATCTTCTCTCCTGTTGATAATAATTCAAGTTTAGTCAGAGATGTGAAAATTGAGGTAGCAATAAAACCTTCCCAGCCATCTTAGATAGGAAATATATTAGTCATTCGGTGATTTCTTTGTCGTTGTTCCCAGTACATCTCTGTATTTTTCCTTTTTATATGTTGATGTTCCTGCCCACCCACGACATTTTTAAGAAAAAGTATGCTTTTCTATCCCATGGGAATTTTTTTTTTTTATTATTGTTTTTTTAATAATATAAAGAAATATTTACCAGAGGATTTTATTAGAAATTCAAATGGAGTGATTTTCAGTCATATTTTCCTCCTATATTGATTTCAGAATTATTCAACTTTCAACGTTATTCAGAAGGAAAAAAAAAAAAACAGTGTTTTAAACAGTTTCAAATATTCACATTTTTTTGTATGTAAATCATGAGGAATTTTTGTATAAAGAAAAAGAAATAGGAAAAAAACTAAGGGACAAAACTTACTTTTACTACTAAGTAACTTCCCTTCAAACCAACGAATTTTGCTTGAAATAAGTTTTTTTTATACTAAAATAGTCAAACTGAATCTGGCTACGATTTTTGCTCTTTTATTTATGATATTGCTATTGTTATATATTTCTGTTTATGATCCTTTTAAACGCTCTTTAGTTATTCTTTTCTGTTGACTAAAGAGTGAAATTAATAACGAAATATTTGAGATTTCATACAAACAAATCAAATTAAAACCAAAAATATTTGGAAAATTATATTCTAGTATTAAATTTATGAATCAAATTTTCATATGGCCTTTGTCCTATATTATTATTACTACTACTACACACACACACACATTTATGTATATATTACTGATAATCAGGTTCTAAATATTTCTTATTACTGATAATCAGGTCCTCTATATTTCTTATTACCATAAACATTATATTTAGTAAGTTCATGTTTGAGTTAATATCCCTGTTATTTTAAATAGTGAAACTAATGTCAGCTGGCCTAGAGATTGAAAAGTCCTACTAAAGAAAATGTGTTTCTCAACAGGAGTCAATTCTGCATTCCCATTTGCCATCAGAGAATCCACTTTCAAGCCAAGTGTGCCTTACCAATTAGGCCACAGGAAACCATCATGATAAAGCAAGGTTCAATTACCCTATTTAAGAAATGTACATCTCTTGTTAGGACTTTTAGAAGTCTATATCTGGTAACTTTATTTTAGTACCCAAAATGTAATCAAAATAATTTTTTTAATATGTGGATCCACTAAATTTATTGTTTATAGAAATAATGGATGTCGGATTAAAAAAAATCCACTAATTGCTTATATATATATATGTATATATATATATATTCATATTGTTCTTTTGCAGATATACTCTGTCTGAAAGTTTTTACATATATATAAATATATATATAGATAGAGAGAGAGAATTAATATAAGTAAAAGGTTTGTTACTTAGCTGATTAGTGTTACCTTCATCATTCCAGTTTCATAGATAGACCCTCTGGGA